CCATGGTGGAAAAGTGGATGAAATGGGCTGAATGTGATTAATAAGGAGTGGTAGGGACTCCTGAGAATACATGTTGTTCTGGGGAGAGAGGCTAACAACATATGTCAGGGTCAAATTCTGGTCATCAGTTTGCAGGCCTAGTTTATAGCTGCTTTTTTTCTTTATTCATTTCTTGCTCGAGATCTTTCCACAGTAAAATAATCTTGTGTGTCTCTTAAAATCTTCATCTTGGTATTGAGAGTAAGAATTTTTTAAATGGGAATTCATCAGCATGGTTTTAAACTAACCTCTAAAGTATTAATTTACTAATGTTTACCCAGGTATTCCTAGAATTTTAGTCTTCTCACTTAACTTTTATAACTTATACATTTCTTAGAACAAAGTATTTGGCAAGTAATCCAAGTTGCTTATTTGTTGATGAGAAAAGTTAGACATTAAGCTAATGGATTAATTTAGACAAGCTAAAAGGTCTTGATAACCTGTAACTTAACTTTAATCTTATGAGAGGTAGTTCCTTTTTTTTTTGATGGTTCATATGTGCTTTGATGTTGATGTGTCGGATGACATGAAAGGAGTGTCTCCCTAGTATTAAATTGGATAATTGTGCAATTTTCTAATTTGTTTTTTTTTTTTTTTACTTTACATTTGGGATTTTGATTTTCTGGATATGTTATTTTTAAGAATTCAGGTTACTGCTGACTTTTTCTATAATGTTATTAAAGGGTTAAACTAATGAAAAGTCATAGAAAGATGAACTTGGTTTTAAAATATAGTGAGTGAATGCTTAGTTGAAATTTTTTTCTTAAAAAAATATTTTTTGGATAAAGTGGGTATGGGTATATTCTTTGTGTTCTTGTGCATCTTAAAATGTGTTCTACCATCTTTTACCCCTCCACCCCATTATAGACCCACATATAAATAATAGTTTGAGTGATTATGTAATTCTAGGTTCGTGAACCTTTATTCTTAGAACTTGGGTTATTCTCTGTCTTTTAGGATTCAGTTTTACAGTTGAGATGGCTGATAACCAATTTGATGCTCTTTGAGTACTCATGTTTTCTGTTTAGAATCCTACATTATAGTATTTTCTCTTTTCCTTGAATATCTATGGTTGTGGGTAACTAGGAGTGGGTTTTTAGCAGTTAATCCAGTGATGTTTTTAAGTTTGAAAAGACTTCAATTGAGGAAAACGTTCTTCTCATATTTAATTATAGCCTCTCTGTTTTCTCCTTTAGAAAGTCTTTTTTTTGTATGTATATTTACTCTCTGTTATTGAATTTTTATTTTCATCTGATTTTTCTTTGAGTTCATTTATTCAGCAAATATTTATTGATGGTCTGCTATATGTTCTGTGATAGGAGAATTTAGGGAATTCAAAGAAAGTTCTCCTGAAGAAGTGATGCTTGAATTGAGATCTGAAGAATGAATAGGAATTGACTCAGAGATGAGGGAATAGCTGTTTAGGTAGAGGAAGTAGTATTTGTTTTTATAGTGAGAGGAAGGAAGCATGATGAGTACCAGTACTGTAAGAAAGCCTTTTATAGTTGGAGTAAAGAGTTGGGTAGAGGGAGAGACAGTATGAAGTGAGATGAGGCTGGAGAAGGTAGGTAAGGGTCTGACTACTTAGGACCTTCATGTAAGCTATCTTAAGCAGTTCTTTATCTTCCAAAACAGTGGAAAGCCATTGAAAAACTTCCAGTACAGAAGTGATACTGTGAAATTTATATTTTGAAAGGTTTACTTAGGCTGCAGTTTGAGAATGAATTAGGGATGCCAGCATGCATATGAAGAGAAAAAATAAGCTGGTATTCTGCAGTAAGAATGATGGTAGCTAAGAGACTGGAGTTTGATAGAAAAAAGTGAATAGATTTAAGAATATTTAGGAAATAAATAATCCATAGGATTTGATGGTGGACTGATGGGAGATGAGGTAGAGAGTGGTGTCAAAGATGTCCTTGGTTTCTCTTCACTTTGGTGGATGATGGTGCCATTCACTGGTAAAAACAGCAAATATGTGAAAGAGTGCCTAGGGAGGCAGCATGGGGTGGAAGAGGTGTAAGCCTTGAGGGATGCCAGTATTTAATGGCTTGGGAGAGGAGGATGAGCCTGCAAAGGAGACGATGGAAAAGTTAGGAATAGGAGGAAACCTGGGAGTGTGTAGCATCTTGAAAAGCCAATGGAAAGAGTGTTTCAGGAGGAGTGTTATGTTGAATGTCACTGGGAGCATTCAGATTAGGGCTGAAAGTGTCCATTAGGATTAAGTGACATGGAGGAACTTGATTTGGTATAATGGCCAGATTATATTTTAGAGTATCAATACTTTTTTCAAGAAGTTTAACTATGAAGAGAAGAGAGGCAGGTGGGTAAATTAGAGAGGAATGAGTCACATGAAGACTTATTTTTAATGGATGACATGGGTGACACTTGAGTGTCTTAAAAAAATCACATTCCAATTGAGAGAGGTTGATAACAAAGGAGGAAAAACATGTAAGTCATTTAAGATTCCTTTGAGGCATTGGTGCCCAAGCTAGTAAAGGGATTTATCATTAGGGAGAGGACAGGGAGTCCTGTATTGTAACAGAGAGATGGGAGGATAGGGTTCTAAAGGAATTCCTTGATGTGATCCACTCATTTATTGATTTGTTTGTTTTTCCTGTGGTAGCCAATCTGCTATTCATTATCTCTATTGCAATTTTAGTTCAGTAATTGTTTTTCATTTCCATGAACCTATTTTCAGAGTACCTCTTTTTTCTTTAATTGACAGTCTGCAGTTGTTTTATTCATTCAGCGTCATCTCATATCTTTATGGGTAGTTTCTAATTTTGAGCTGATGAATACTGAGTGTCCCTTGTTTTAAGTTCTGAATTTTTTTAAAAGTCATCTTATTTTTCTGTGCTCATCTTTATGTTTTATGTAGCCCAAGTACCTGAAATTGGCTTTGCTAGAAATTATAATTAGTTCACTGTTGTTTTCTTTCTGTAAGTTTAGATTTTTTTTCTTGCTTTTTTTCTTTCTGTTTTTTTTAGGTCATTTATCTTTGGCAGTTTAGAGATTCAGAGAAGAAATTCTATAGATTTGTAGGCAGAGAAAAATATGGTACTGAGGGAAGTCTCAGCTTTGTTCTGTGACTGTCTTCCCTAACTTATATGTTATCTTTTAAAATTCTACATATTTAGATTTTTATTACTTCATTTATAGATATATAGGATAGCATGTGTAGGAGAATTGGAGTGCAAGTCCAGAAACCTGTTCTCAGCCTTACTGCTGAACTATCTTTGTATCCTTTGGGCAAATTTCTCTGAGCCTTCTCATTTGTAAAGTAGGTTTAGACAGATTGTTTCTACATTTTGGCTCTAATTAATTACACAAATGATCAAAATCAAAATTTTAAATATAAATACGTGTAATCCTTTTTTAAAGCAGTGATCACTGAGAAATTTCAGACTCCAAATGGGAGAAAAATTACCTCCAAATTAGCCTTTTTTTCCACCCAGATTTGCTGTAGTTTTGTTAAGGTGCTTATTTGTCTTACCATAGATAATCTTGAGATTGCTGCCTTGAATTACAAAATACAATCTTTTAATTACTGTGGGAATTTATTGGGAATTTAAAAGTAGTTTGATAGCCTACATTATCCTTTACAGAGATTTGGCTGGAAGAGTGTTTCTATGTTTCTTTGCTGAAACCCAGCTATGCAATATATTGCTTAATATTCTATCATTCAATAAATGTACATCCCAGAGGACCATTTGTCCTCGTCTTTGAGGACAAAGTCCATTCATATATAAGTATTAGTGAACAATGAAGAATATAGTGATTTGGTAGTAATAGAGAGTTTACATTCCACATCGCACTGCAAGTAACTTGAATATTGCCATGTTATACACTTCTGCCTATACTGTTAGCTAGTATTCCTTTGGTTCCTACCTTCTAGTCTCTCTTGCTATATGTTTTTTTCTCTGTGGATTTCCCATCAGTCTTTAGATTTCTTGTCTCTTATGCAAGTCTACTCCAGATTTTCTTCTCAAATTTTAAAAACCAACCCCATCTTCATACTCATCAAACTAAGGATCTCTAGTTAGCAGTATCCACCCTCCTTGGAATGCCTGTTTAGCAGTGATCTTTTTGTTAAACAGTTTATCTTTTGAGCCTTACCCCCTCAACACCTTAAGTATCTGATCAAAGCAGTGCTTTTCAGAAAAATTTAGAGATTGCCCTAAGAATAGTTCTGGTATCATTTTCTAAGAGAATACAGTTTTCTCCACATGGTTTACATGTATATATTTTTTTCCTTTGATTATGGAGCCTGGGGAGTATATTAGACTATGTGTCCACAGGTAAACAGAAAAATACCTTGTAGAGTTTTATTATTCAATGTCTTAAGGACACCACCCAAATTGTTGGTTGAATAATTCTCATTTCTTTGGGGCTAATATATTGCTTAGGGATCTTAACAATAAAATAGAGCTTTTAAAATTATTCAGTATAATTCTAAGTGGATTAAATCACATGACAAGGTTCGGAGCTCTGCTTTGAGATCAGCTTTGTTTAATAAAAGGCAGTGGCCAAACATTAGTGAATGACTTAGAATTTTTCAGTTTAGGCATTAGTTTGATTCTAAAAGACAAAATGTTCACCAGATTTCCTGATTATATCAAAGATGAATTCAGTCTTAATGATTGTTATAGTACTTTATTTTGAAAAGTTGAGATCAGCCGATAATACTAGTGTTGTGATGAGATTCAGCATATACTCAAGAGTAGATTTAAGACTCTAGATGAGAACTAAAATTTCTCTCAGAACTAACTTGAACTTTCATGGGCAAATTGAATCCTCTTGGGATTTACTATTTATAGATATATGCCAATTTAATCATTTGATTAAATAAAAGAGCCTTTAGTAGTCCTCTTATGGAAGATGACTATATAAACATAGTATTTATAATAAGTAAATACTTTTTTGGTATTATATTTACATAACCAGCTGCTGTATTTATGTAGCTTATAGTTGGCTGCTTCACCAGGACTCTACAAATCACTCAGAACCCAAGGAGGTAAGATCTCTGAATTGCTTGTTTTTGCTATGTAAAAGTCCAGCCACAAAATTAATTTGATCTTGACTGTATTTTTATAGTTGCTATGGAACTACACCTAAAATTTTATCAGATGGTTGACTAGTTACCATTTTACATTTCAGTATACTATATATTTTTCAAAAGTCTGAGATTTGTTTTTAGAAAGTATACTCTATCTTCAAAGAATTATTTATTTGATAGTTTCATATGCATATCTGGAAAATAACTACTGGACTTGTTTGTAAAAAGCCACCCTGCTAGTTGAGGTCAGAATCTAGATGTGGCAGTGTATGTAGGAACACAGTAATAATAAATAGTGTCCATTTGGTTTTATAATGAATAGTGTCCATTTGGTTTTTGCCAGTGTCTGTATAGCTGCTTTGCAAAGCAGCCATTACCTCATTTAAACCTTGCAGCAACATTCAGAGGTAAGTATTAATATACCCATTATACAGATGAGGAAGTTCAATAGATGGATTAACCTTATTGTGGCTCAGTTTCTTCATCAGTAAAACAGGGATAATGGAAGTACTTATTTTTTAAGGTTAGTATGCAAATTAAAGAAGTTAACACATATATGAAACTTCAGAACAGTGCTTGGCTAGTGGTAATCCCTCCCTAAATGTTAGATGTTGTCATGAAGCCTGTACCCACCTGTTATCTCATAGTTGTTCAGAGGTGAGGATGTAGGCTATAGAGAAGAATGAGAGAAAAAGCCATGCTGCTAATCTGTCTAATCTAGAGTTAAATCTTAGTTAAGTTATAAGAGAATCCTATGTACTTTTAAAACAGTTTCTTTCTTAGTTTGCTCTTCTTTGGCTCCTGGTATGGGTTTTGTTTGGTTTGGTTTTGACTTCTTATAAGGTACAAGTAACTTTTGAAGGGAGTCAGTTTACCTTAGATGAACCAAAGAAAAACTAAAAAAGGTAAAGCAGAGATTATGTTCTTAAAATCCCTGTTACTGCTTCAAAGTCAGGAAATACCTGTTGCAGATATAGTTGAATCCCCTTTTTGAACCCTTCCCTGAAGCCATTCTCTTTTCTCTTGTTATTCCCAGAGAGAAACTTGTCAGTCAACAAATAATATTGAATTTCTGCAGTGTGTTAGGCTCTGTTCCAACTGCTGGGGAGACACCATTGAATAAAAAAAAAAAAGAAAGTTCCTGCTCTCATGGAGCTTACAACTACTACTCTGTCTGAAGTTTGCATATATTCTGCCTAGCCTTGTTTTTACATTTTTACCAAATTAGTAATGCAGTTGTTTTTCTGCATTATTCAGCATATTGCCTTTTGTTGTTGTTTTCGAGATGTCTCTGTGTTGATATAATTAAACCTACATAGTATTCTGTTGTTTATCCATTCTACCTTCTAATCAGCAGTTAGTTTATTTCCCATGTTTACTATTGCAGTTCTCCAAAAAGATCACTGAACGTGTCACCTTGGGCAGATGGGAGAGTTCCTTTAAGGCAGCATGTTTCCAGCTTTTTGTTTTTTTGGTTTCTGTTTTGTTTTGTTTTTTGACAGGAGGTCTCTGTGTTGTCCAGGTTGATCTTGAACTCCTGGGCTCAAACAATCCCTCCCACCTCAGCTACCTGAGCAGCCAGAATTACAGGCGTGTGCCCCTGGCTCAAGCTTTTGACTATGACCACACTAAGAAGTATATACCTCAGCTTAGTAAGCACACATATACATCTGGAACAAAAACTTCAAGAAACATTACTTACTTTACTACCTGAGCTGCACCCTATTTTATCCTTTTAAAATACAGGTCACACACAACCCACTAAATTGATTTCATCACTCATATCCACTGTTGGTAAAACATTGCTCTAGGATATATAATTAGAAGGAGAATTGCTGAGGAGTTAACTTATGTACATATTGAACTTCACTAGCTATTATATTTCAAAGTAGCTGAACCATTTTATACTCCCGTATAGGGGTTCCTGTTTCCCCACATTCTTACCGATTCTTGATATTGCCAAATGGATGAGAAATGGCATTTTGTTTTAAATTTGCTTTCCCGTATTTACTAATGAGGTGTTTAAAGTGTGTTTTAAACTTTTCATGTAGAAGTTTTTAATTTAAGGGTAGTCAAAGCTGGTGACAAGGAGGAAACATTATGACTGACTACTCCCTCTGGTAGAAAACAATAGTGTAATAATTATTTAATAATATCTATCATATTGATTGTTAACAATGTGCTAGACACTATACCAAATGCATTGTGTATATTATTTCATTTAATCCTCATAAGAACTCTGTAAGATAAGTACCTTATTATACAGATGGAGAGATTCAGAAAGGTTAATTAGTCAAACTGTTACTAAGTAGTAGAGCCAGAATTTAAACCCAGGTTGGTCTTACTTTATAACTTCTGTTCTTTAGTACTTTGTGCTATTCGTAAATTCTTAGCAGAGGAAAGTTTGTCATTTCTGCTCTCTTTTGTTGCTTTGTCTATTAAATATGTTTATGTTTTTGAGTTTCACTGACATCTTTTTCTTTTCTCAAGACAGTGTACTCTCCTGTACAACTTCTCTTTGTTATTTCTAGCCTAGGATAGTGGTCTTGTAACCTAGGATTGTTGTCTTGATTACATTTTGAGTTGATTCTTCCTCTTTGGCCCTTATCTGACTCTCTCTTTCTCCTCCTCATCTTCTGCCTTGCCATTTCATATAATCTTTTACAGTGGTTTGCAACCTTGCTGTGTCTCAGAATCACATGTGAAAAATTTTAAATACACAGATGCCTAGATTTCAGCCCTACCTTGGGAATTCTGATTTGGAAATATTTATTTTTCAAAGGTCTGTAGATTCTGTTGCACAGCTATGGTTAAAACCCATTGCCTTAGTGGTTAATGATGCTTTAGAGACAGACTTGAATTAGAGTCCTGATTCCTTTAAGCTTATTAGTTGAGTGATTTTAGCCAAGATTTATTTAACCTTGGCTAAGGTTCTTAATCTATAAATTAGAGATGGTATTATTACTCACCTTAGAGAGTTGTTGAGATTAAATGAGGTAATATTTTTAAAACACCAGAATGATTTATAATTCTTCTTAAACATTGTCTGCTAAGATGTCATCATTACATTATCCTTTTCTCCAGTCAGAATACTCTTGCATTAATGTGTATCAGGTTGGTGTTAGAAAAACACTTAGTGTCAGAAAAGTAACCTGATAAATACCACCATAAGGGATATGTGATAGCTAGTTTTCATTCTTTACCTTCCATTAGTGGAATTGTAGTAGGGGGCAGAGGAGTAGGCAGATTGTTGTTTTATCACATCAACCAGCCAATCTTCTCTGCCTGTATAGTTTGGACCAATGAGGAAAAAGAAGGGGGAAAGTGTTGCTGGAATAACAAATGTTTTTATTTCCTTCTTAGGGACTTTTCTTCTTCCCCTTTCTCTTCCAGTTTTCTCATCAGTCTCCTAGTCTCAAAACTGCATAGGGATTTAACTATCCCCTACCCACCCTTATTCCCCACTATTTAATTCCTCTTCACCACCTTTAAATCTCCATTTATCATTCTTTTCTTTCAGATTGCCTTTAGTTCAGTTGTAACTCATTTGATTACTTGAACCCCAAGTCTGCACATTCCTAAGCTATTATTCAAGTAAGGGCCAACCTTAATCCTGACAAACTATCTCTTTGCCTTGTATGGGCCCATTCCCGACCTTGGGATTTTAACTTTTGAGGATTGGGAAAGGATTAGATTAGCTGAACTTTCAGGCTTGTCAAGCAGGGCTTGTCACTAGACTCTTTGATCTCCTTTACTATTTATACCTAATGGTCATAGAGTATAATAATGATATGTGCTATTACCATTAGATTAATAGATTTAGCTGTAGATTAATTTTGTTATATTTGTATATAACGTATAACTCCTTGCAAATTAAAAACTGAGGCTAGACCATTTATAGTAATTTAATAACTTATTGGCTGTATCAAAGACTGAAAAACCTTATGGAATAGGTGGAATTTGAACTAGATTTTAAAGGATGGGTATACTTTTTTCTGTAAGTAGAGAGGGAGAGGCAAGGGATTCCAGTTAAGGAGACTGATGTGAGCAAAGGCTTAAAGGGAGGAGAATGCAAATTTTGGAACATTTTGAGTAGATTATTTTTTAGTTTTTCAAAGGGTTCGTGTGGTGGAAATAAAGCTAGGTAGTTTGAATTCAAACTTTGGAAATTTCTGACTGTTCTAAGATGTCTGAATTAGTAGGCTTTTGATATGTCCTATAAATTCATTTAGCTTGTCTTGATTGATACACACATAAGTTAGTTCTGAGATTCCTTAGAGATTCCTTTAGAGATTGCACATGTTCAGTGTATCCTGAAACACTTAGCCTGGTTCATTTAAGTTGATGGCCACTGACAGGTCTCCTTTCTACTTACTCTCCTTTATCCCAATGCTTTAGTTTTCTCTGCCTATTGAGCTGTGCTTGATCAGCCTTCCTCTCAGTTTTTCCTTGTTAATCTCCAGATGCCAAGTCAGCAACACAGTTAGTGTCAGTTTATCACAAGAGTTGTAAATTCTTATTTAATGTTTGTTGTGTATCTCTTTCACTCTTCAGAAGATTGTTTGGTACATATTTTATTTATAAGATGATTATTGACTTTTCCTGTTTCTCTTCCTTTGCAGACCTAGAGGATCAAGACATAATGGGAGCATTTTTAGACAAGCCAAAGATGGAAAAGCATAATGCCCAGGGGCAGGGTAATGGGTTGCGATACGGGCTAAGCAGCATGCAAGGTTGGCGTGTTGAAATGGAGGATGCACATACAGCTGTGATCGGTTTGCCAAGTGGACTTGAAACATGGTCATTCTTTGCTGTGTATGATGGGCATGCTGGTTCTCAGGTTGCCAAATACTGCTGTGAGCATTTGTTAGATCACATTACCAATAACCAGGATTTTAAAGGGTCTGCAGGATCACCTTCTGTGGAAAATGTAAAGAATGGAATCAGAACAGGTTTTCTGGAGATTGATGAACACATGAGAGTCATGTCAGAGAAGAAGCATGGTGCAGATAGAAGTGGGTCAACAGCTGTGGGTGTCTTAATTTCTCCCCAACATACTTATTTCATTAACTGTGGAGACTCAAGAGGTTTACTTTGTAGGAACAGGAAAGTTCACTTCTTCACGCAAGATCACAAACCAAGTAATCCGCTGGAAAAAGAACGAATTCAGAATGCAGGTGGCTCTGTAATGATTCAGCGTGTGAATGGCTCTCTGGCTGTATCAAGAGCCCTTGGGGATTTTGATTACAAATGTGTCCATGGAAAAGGTCCTACAGAGCAGCTTGTCTCACCAGAGCCTGAAGTCCATGATATTGAAAGATCTGAAGAAGATGATCAGTTCATTATCCTTGCATGTGATGGTATCTGGGATGTTATGGGAAATGAAGAGCTCTGTGATTTTGTAAGATCCAGACTTGAAGTCACTGATGACCTTGAGAAAGTTTGCAATGAAGTAGTCGACACCTGTTTGTATAAGGTAGCTAGACTTTTTAAAAAAATCATAAAATTATCTTATGTCATATTAATTATTCTAGTATTTAATCATCTTAGAACCTGTAGTTCTCAAAAATAAATATTTGGCACAGTTGCAGTATACTTTTCACCAATTATGAAAATACATCATAGGAACACTTTTTAGAAATAAATTACCCAGGTACCATCTATATAAGAATTATAATCTAAATGTTTAGTCTTTTAGTAACCCATGATTATTTGAGCTTTGTAATAATGTGGAAGATTATCAAAGGTAAAAAGATTATATCAGAGTACATGTTTTGAAAGAAAGAAAGTGGGGAGGGTTAGGCCTCAGTGTTTAAATGAAAAGCATTTTGGAGTTTTAATATTTTTTGCCATGTGATATCTCAGTATGTTTATGATATCTCAGTAGTTTGAGACTGTGGTTTAATGACTCTGTAGTACTTACAGAGGGACTTTAGTGATTGTTTGATGTGGTGTAATAAAATAGCCTTGGACATGGAGTCAGAAGAACTTGATGTAAGACTATGTATGACTTTAGGTAAGCTATTTAAACTCTCTGGAAAATCAGTTTCTTTAATACCCCTTTGTAAAAAGGGTAAGACCCCTTTGTAAAAAGGGTAAGACAGATTTTATTGCCCTGTCTCATGGGGTTGTTGAGAAGATCAAATGGGATTATGTACATAGATGAGCTAGTTCAGCCTCTATTTTACAGATGAGGAAACTGAAGCCAGAAAAGGCTCTGTGGACTTAAGAGTCAGACACCTCTGGGATCAAGGCTTACCCCTATTACTTTTGTACTCTACAGTCTTGAACAAGTTGACCTCCCTCAGCTATGAAATAGAGATAATAGTATAGTATCTCATTCATTGGACTGTTAAGGAATTAATGAGTGTATATATTGTATTTTTAATACATACATATTTATAAATGACTTATACAGAGTTGTACATCTTTAGTAACAGCATTAAGATTAGAAAATCTAGGCCCTTAACTTAGGTTCAGTGTTCTTTCTACCACATTCTTTTTTTTTTTTTTTTTTTTTTTTTTTGAGACAGTCTTACTCTGTTGCCGGGACTAGAGTGCCGTGGCCTCAGCTTAGCTCACAGCAACCTCAAACTCCTGGGCTCCAAGCAATCCTGCCTCAGCCTCCCAAGTAGCTGGGGCTCGGGCATGCACCACCATGGCCAGCTAATTTTTTCTATATATATTAGTTGGCCAATTAATTTGTTTCTATTTTTAGTAGAGACGGGGTCTCACTGTTGCTCAGGCTGGTCTCAAACTCCTGACCTTGAGCGATCCTCCCGCCTCAGCCTCCCAGAGTGCTAGGATTACAGGCATGAGCCACTATGCTTGGCCCACATTCCGTCTTGTCAGTAATGCTCATTAACTCATTTCTTGATTTTTTTTTAAACAAATGTTGATTTTACAAAACTTTTCTTGAGGGCATATATTTGATATTTTAACATGCAAACATAAAAAGCCAACAAAATATTCTTTGCAGTTTTATATGCATGCTGCCAGCTGTATTTAAAATCTTAATTATAGTCTGATTGTACTTAGAAATCAGGTTTATATAACACATATGTTCAAAAAATCAATAGAGTAACAACTTGATAGTGCCTTCTGTCAGTTTCTGAAGTTTGGGCAAACTGTATTGTTTGTTGTTTAATGATGTAAGGTCAGTTTTTCCATATAACTGATTTAAATAGTTAAATGTAAAATTACTAATACATCCAGGGAGGCTAACACCAATTCAAATATTTTAATTATTTAAGTGTCTTTTCAAATGAATGTACTTCCTAAAATTTTTTCTAATTATAAAAGTTAAAAGCTGGTTTATAAATTTTATAGTTATACTCCTAATTCCATATTTCTACTTAAGAAACAAATGTATTAGCCCCAGAACTTACTATAATTTATTTTAAATGTAAAATTGTCAAATATACATGTAACTAACTGCAGGTCAAATCCTATTTTAAAGAATACCACTAGACTTTTCTATCTGGTATGGAATGAATGAATATGTGTGTGTGTGTGTGTGTGTGTGTGTGTGTGTGTATTTGTGTTAGGTATCAATTCAAGTAGGCCACTAGTAAATGTTTAGTAATAGTTTTGTTCTATAGAATGACAAAAAATGATTATTACAGTGGGATTTAACCTGTAATGTTTCTCTCCTATCTTTTGGAGTGTTGGTTATATACTGAATTATATAGTGTATGGGAAGTTAGGGGTGGTTGTCCCCTCACACACATGCATTTTTTTTTCTCCTTAAAATAACATATTTTCACTGGAACATGTATAACTGCAATTGGCATGGCTGTAAAGGTTCTCAAGAGTTAGAAGAGCAAAAAGAAAACCAAAATATTCTCAACCTTTTTTCTTCCCAGGGAAGTCGAGACAACATGAGTGTGATTTTGATCTGTTTTCCAAATGCACCCAAAGTATCACCAGAAGCAGTGAAGAAGGAGGCAGAGTTGGACAAGTACCTGGAATCCAGAGTGGAAGGTGGATCATTTAACAAAAAATAAGTAGCTTTATTAAGGAAAAGTCTTCAACACAATCAAACTTTAACATTTTAGCTTTTAGATCTTTACATGCCTTTGACATCTAGGTTTAGGGTACAAAAGGGGGAAAGGGCATTTCTGTAGTAGCTGTTTAGATGTATGCAGTTGTCCTAACACAGTTATAATAGAAATAACAATTAGTGTGGAAAGTATCCTACATTTTATTCAGGGATACTTTTGTTTTTAAATGTTTTAAAGGCTAAATGTTTATATGCTCTAAAATTCATAACGAATTCACTGGCATGAATAATTTTATGCCAGGAAAATCTGCTTTGTGCTTTATTTAATTACAAAGAGATTATTTATGATGGTGATAATTTGAATACCATCTTTCTGTGAAATGCTGTGTATATTAATTTAAAATCTCTAGGGCTTTGTTTTTGTTTTTTGTTAACTTGAAGGGCATAGCCTGATGATTAACATCTTTCATTGACCACAGCTTTAAAAAATTTGCTTTAAACTGTTTCCAGGCTTCTTGTCTAAGCCATAAACTATCTCACCTAAACAAGATAGACCTGAATAGAAGACATAATAGTTCTCTACCTGGCAGAAATGTAACTGCTGAATAAAATTAAGAAATTAATTAATTAAGACTAAGGAATTCCAGAAGTATATTTCTTATAAATCTGCAAATTACTTTGGAACAATTGGAAAGGTTCATGCCTCTCACATGTAATGCCTTTAAATATTTGAAAAAATTTAAAATGATTTTTGATGCAGCTACTACTTGGTATAAACATTCTCTCTCTATTGAATTCCAGTTTACTGCATATGCATATATGCAGTGTAGTTTCTGTAAGCAGAAGAACCTGACATGATTTTAATAGTGTTAAAATGCATTTTGGGCTCCGAATGTCATTAATTTGCACGTTAAAGACCTCTACTAGCATGCACGCATTGACCTATCACACTATTACATCTCACTGTGCCTGCATTATTAAAATTAATATTCACTTTAATTTTGTTTTTTCCCTTTTAGCTATTTGATAGCAGTCATAATCAGCCTGATACTAGAATCATGATTGTTTTTGATTTTCAGTACTGTCTAAAGCTATTATTTTGTTTTTATTGCCCTCCTCCACTACTTGATAATGATACATCTAGTTATGTGTATGTACTATTTAGTAGTTCATTCAGTGGGCATACATACTGTTCAATGAGGTGGTTTCCTTATTATTACCAAAGGTCTTGGAATTTTTATATTTTAAATTAATCATTTCAATATAAATTATTTATAGATAATATAGTAAAATAAACTATTTAGAATCCTATAATCATTGATCAAACTTGATTAGTGGAAGTATATGAAACCATAAGAATCTGTATAAGGATAAGTTGATATTTAATGTATTGGCACTTTAAAGTAACTTGGGCATACATGTTATCTTAGTGGTTTAAAGAAATAAGAGTAAGTGCTTCAGTATTTTTACTATGAAATGGGATCAAATATTAGAAACGACTTGCTACTTTTCTCTTTAGTATGCACTCTTTAAGTTTTAGATGGAATTATGAAATATTTACATAATTTTGTTATATTGTTTTATATTACTTATCAAGCTAGAAGAGATGCCATCTGGACAGAGTTTACATTAATACTCAATATTTTTGATATGTTGAAGTGTTGTTATACTTGTATCATTCAATTAGAGATTATGTCATAAATATGGTATTTTTTTACTCAGATGGATTTGATGAGACTGCAACTAGAGAATAAATACTACGTTAATTAAAACTGTTACTATTAAAAAACATAGAAAAAATGTAACTGTTTGTATTGTAAAAGTTGTTGTATCTCATCAGTGAAAAATACTGCATTCAGCTTCCAAAGCAGGCACCGAATACCTTTTTCTTTTTTTTCCTTGGCTTTTATAAATATATGCCTTCACTAGATTACTGTGGCTACTAAACCTCACCTTGCTTCAAACATTGTTGGTTTGATGTCCACAGCACAGAAAAGGACAAAGGCTTTCCAGCTCTCCTTTATCCTGTTATTTGTCCCCTTCTAAATACTTGACTCTCTGGATATATGAAAAGATTCAGCTCATAATTTAAACCATACAGTTATTAAGTATGTGATCCTTCTAAGCCAATTTAAGATTATACTCATGTATATATTTCTCAAATCTTTGCTACAGATTACCCGAGCTTTAAAGTTGTGACTTTGGAGATAACTGATAGAATCCCTCAAACTTGGTGGAGTGGGAACACAGGGGATCAGAATGTATTTGTATATATGTATGTGAAACACGGATCTATACATATATATTTTTTATCAAAGCGTTCAGTCTTATTAAGATTCTAATTAAAATGTATAGTCAAATAGCAATTAAAGGAATATTTCTTAAAATATCTTTTTCTTTTTTGAAAGCAGGAAGAAACAAGGCTAGTGTAGTATTAATGGTCAGGTAGTTTAAATGGATTGTCCCACATGGAATAGGAGATATTAACTGTTTTTAAAGCCTTAGATTTTTAAAAAAGTATTTGTTTTCCTGTAATGTTCTTCACAGTTAAAATATCCTAATTTATATTTTAACAAAGGAGATGTAAGATACATCAAATAGTGATGATTCAAGGTAATGTTTTTTAGACCTGAAACCATATTGATTGAATTTATCATCAGTGTTCATTTCTATTGTATCTAGTTATCTATCCAATAATTGTATTGGCTTAGCAGAGACTGTATGTTAAGTGTATTACAGCTTTAGATTGTGATATTGTGCAGTTTAGGTAAACATCAAATCCCTTTATTTTTGTACAGTAGATTTCCAGCATTAGAACCATGTAGAATAAATATACTAGATGTTAAAGATTACACAATAAAGGAACTTGGCAAACCAAATCTGAGATCCTTGCATTTTGTTCAGATTTAAGACTGGTTTTAAAAAAAGGCGAAAAATAATAGATGGTAAATTTGGCCTTTATTCTAAAAGGAAAATTGAAACCATGGAAAGAAATATTATGGGTAGCCATGTTTGTCTTTTAGTAATTTGAGGCTTGATCAAAGGATGAAAGATCTTTATATGCATTGTTATTTTCAAAGGTATTTACAAATTGAGAAGTATAATGATAATTTCTTGCCTCAGTGATGACAAAGAAAATACCATTTCTTACTATAAACATTGGAAAACAAAAACTGAACAAAACTTGAACATATAACTTACAAATACTTTTGGCCTGAATTTGCACATAAAGTGTGCTAAAACTTCTTTTACTTCAAGTGAATAGTTTTAGAATTCTTTGTAAGTTTCTTTGTTCATAATTTTTTATATTCTGTGATATAAATACCAATATGCATCTGCATGACAACACTGCAAATCATATCACTATGCCCATTTAATAACTGGATGTTTTAAAATTATTTTAAATGCAGTTGTATGGTTTATCAAATCTTTCTCTTTATAGAAATTTGGTAATGAAATTTAGACCTTTTCTAGTCAAGGCTTTGTTCAAGTAATCAATGAAGGAAATGGTATATCTATATAATATATTGTTAAAGATACTTTAGAGAAAAGCTGAGAGTGATATTCAAGTACATAATCTAATCTGTACATGCTACTTAAGTATCTTACAAGTGTAAATGTACATGTAAAAATAATTTGGGTTAGTGTATAAACAATAAATTTCCCTATACTTAAAGGTTATTTTTTTTTTCAAATCTTGAAATTGTTAATTTTTTTTTTCAAATCTGTGCAATGTATTCTATAGGGTAAAATTCAGGAAATATGAAAGAGAAGAATGATCTCAGAAATAACTAGTTGGCATCTTATGAAAGGATATTTTCATTTGTATGCACATATCCCTGATTATGTAATACATTGATTTAACAGCAAATATTTTTTTCTTTTCACATTTTTATCTTGAATGTTTTCATTCTTTGAAGTTAATCTTTTGTGTCATTTTGTACATCCCTCTGTCATAAATTTTGAATGATCGACCTGATTTTTTTTTTTTAATGATACCAGTTTAGAAAATCTCAGATCTGTTAAATGTCATCTTTAAAAACCTAAGTTATCTTTGTTTCGGTTTTCTTTTTAATTAAATTTGATAACACTTACAAAAAAAGTACTTCTGATTCCCAGAAATCATAAAGAAGCAGGGGGAAGGCGTCCCCGACTTAGTCCATGTGATGCGCACATTAGCGAGTGAGAACATCCCCAGCCTCCCACCAGGGGGTGAATTGGCAAGCAAGTAAGTTACATTCTGCACATTCTTACACTTTATGTCAGTATATGAAAATTTTAGATGTCCATTAATCAAATGTGTGTTTACCTAATTTCTAAAGTGATGTACTTATCTGTGTTTTTAAAATATTTAATCTGTGATTTCAGTGCTTTTTAGTATTAAGATATCTGGTGCTTGTTTAGAATAGACATGAGGATATTATTTTTTCTAACAACACATTAACTGCCATGTGAATTGCATTTAATTCATGTTAGTTTTGAGCCCAGGGCCTCATGAAGTGTATGTAATGCACACATCTCCTCACCTTGGGAGCCGAGTGAACTATTTTTCAAGTTGCATATAACTCACACACAGAAAACAATAAAAAAATTAAAAAATTTTCATTAAATTAGAGAGGATTATTTCATTTTCAAAGTTCTTATTCTATTTTCGTAATAAAACACCTTGACCCCAAGGAAAAAAATTTTTTTTCTAGTGTGGAAGTCAGCGTATTCTGAGGGCTGTCCTTAGTGGAAGTTTGGGTGACGTTGATTTTCCTCATAGAGCATAAATGAGATAATATAATGAAAAAATTTTTTAAACTGAATTACACAGAACTGCAAAATTCTAAGTGTCAGTAGTATTATAATTTGTTTTTGTCAAACTCTGGAAAACATAATACCCCAAAGATTATCTTAGTTTATCTGGGCCATGTTTCTATATCTGATTTTCCCAGCATTTTTAAAAGTTATTGATTGCTGGTTAGTTGGGTTTTGGTGTCAGAGAAGATATAGGAGGATGCATATTTTTCTTTTTCATTTCCACTCAGAACTGGACTAATTTGTGTTAAATATTAAGCCTACACCTTTACATAACTGAGAATTGAAGCAATTTTTTAAATCAAGGCTTAAAACAGTTTTTCCTCAAATACTCATATAATTGACCTACAAAAAAATATTATTGACTAACTTTCTTGATTCTCCACTGTTTTGCAAGTATAGCCATGTTGTTTGTAATAATTTCACTAAATAGTGGTTGTAGTATAAAAGTTCCTGTTTGAAGTTTTTATTTTTTGGAAACATTTTTTTATGTGACTTTTGATGAAATCAGTATCAATAAAACTACTTCAAATCCATTTTGGAAGCAGGGAGGCTGTAACTTATAAATACCACTATAGATTTTTTAATAAAACATACTCAAAAACTAACTCCTAGACTTGTCATGGAAATGTCATATTTGACATTTCAGTTTTAATAGAGCTTTCAAAAGGAGGATTAGGAAAAGTAGAAACTTTAAAATATATCTGAATTATTTTACAACAATAGATGAAGTTATTTCTATTTCAAAACTAAGATGCCCCTTTTAACTAGTATATATTAGTATTATATCTTAAAAACAGGATAGCCATTGCTGACTCAAGACCACTTTAATCCAGTTCAAATAGAAGTAAACCATATAGACTTTTTTTAAAAAACCATGATTTTTAGCCTTCTAAACTGGTTTGGTGGAATGTTAACATTTTAGAGTAAATTTACCTCTACTTTAATGTTGGGACTCAAATATCTTAAAGTGGGACTTGCTAATTGACAGCAAGAAATAGAACTAAAATAATTTCTAAGTGTAAGATTGTAAAATAATCTCTGAAATTTTAATAAACACCTGGCTGTAAATTATTAGGCAATGTGTGCTTTCCAAATAATTAATTTTCTGCATTTTTTAAAATTTAGGCGGAATGTAATTGAAGCCGTTTACAATAGACTGAATCCTTACAAAAATGACGACACTGTAAGTAGCATTTTAGCTCCCTCTGCTTTACCTTCCCCTCCACTCTAAATGCATATCCTGCCTACCTGTTTTTGCAGAGCTGTTCACTGTACCCATTCTTTTACACACACCCCTGATTGATTGCTCTGAACTCTGCTTGCTCTGATCTCTGCCTGCACCACAGTTCTAGTGATTGAGGACATAATCATGGTGAGTGGCCACCTCTCTCAAAAAAGGAAAAAGTCCTTTTGAATCATGCTAGTTTTTTTTTAAGAGTCTGCAAGCAATCAACTTCAGAAGGTTTGCCTCCACTAATTTTTTTTTTGAATGGGAATAATATCTCTACTCAGAATTTTAAATTACTCTGAATGTTATAAGCAGCTGCAGCAGAACATCAGAATGTCTGTCTCTAATAAATAGTTTTTATGGTTGAAAATACCTTTGTCAAGCATCCTGAACTATATATTTCATTTAAATATTAATGTAGAGTATTAGGTTTATATAAATAGACATTAAAATGCCATATTATCCAATTAAATTTTCTATTGCAAGATGTTTATAGAAAAGTAGTAACTTAAAATCATTTGGGCACTGTTCTGAAATATTTTCTGTATTGTATTATGAAGCTTCCTCAAATTTCATATTATCTGAGATCTTAATCTTTTCTGATACCATAAAAGGTTATAAAAGTGGTGTTCTAAAAATTGGGGTTTATAAAAAAGAAAATTATTTTTAGTAGCTTTATTGATTTAGTAATACATTTGGTCAAACTCACTGTAAAACCATATTTTAAATATTTTCCAAAAATGAAACAAAGAGTTAATTCTTTGAACAGATTAAATATTGCTATATCATATACACACATGCTTATATATGTTTTAAAAGATTTGTATTCTAAAAGTCAACTTTATAAAACCTTATCTTTCTGTATTATCCAGAAAGTAGTGTATTTTGGCACCTCTAAGCTTTAATTTAGTCCCTTGTTTTGTTTGTTTCCTTTTATAAAGGACTCTACATCAACTGATGATATGTGGTAAAACTGCTCATCTAGCCATGGAGTTTACCTTCACCTCCAAAGGAGAGTACAGCTCAACTTCGTTGACCTTTTAACATCCATCCTCAACTTTAAGGAAGGGGATATGACATGGGTGAGAGTAATTACACCAGAGAACTTCAGCAGTACAACAGCTAGCCCAGAAGTGAATTTTTTTTTTTTTTTTGTAAATTTGAGACTTATGTAAACGTGATTTCAAACCATAATTCATGTTGTAAATCAGACTCCAGCAATTTTTGTTGTATGATTTTGTTTTTTTGTAAAGTGTAATTGTCCTTGTACAAAATGCTCATATTTAATTATGAACTGCTTTAAATCACTATCAAAGTTACAAGAAATGTTTGGCTTGTTGTGTGATGCAACAGATATATAGCCCTTTCAAGTCATGTTGTGTTTGGACTTGGGGTTGGGACAGGGAGAGCAGCAGCCACTTCAGCTAGATGTTCAAACGTGCGCATGATTATGGAGAATAATTTCAAAATCTTACAAACCTGAACATCCAAGGAGTTATTGAAAACTAAATGTTCTTGGTAGGGGATTGGCATTGTTCATAAAGCTGGTCCCTTCATTTAACTGTCAGGATGTTCTCTCCTTGTTGCCATGAGTATTGCAGGTAATACAGTATATTCATAAGAATACCAATCTTGGGGCTAAAATGCCTTGATTCTTTGCACCTCTTTTACAAGTCCTTACATTTAATTACTAATTGATAAGCAGCAGCTTCCTACATATAGTAGGAGACTGCCACATTTTTGCTATCATGATTGGCTGGGCCTGCTGCTGTTCCTAGTAAGGTATTCTGAATTCCATTTTATCAATAAAGCTTGATTTAACAAACAAGAAATTTAATCATGTATGTGTAATTCCTCTCTTACCCCGGCCTTTTAAAACACCATACTATTGTAAATGAGATGTTTCTCATAGGAAAAGATGTTAGTCTCTTTTAATTGGACAACTCTGTTACTCAAGGCATAGATGGAACTGTTTCCCTGCCATTAGAAAGACTAAAAGATTCGAGTCTCTGTTGTTCCTTAATCTGTTTTTTAAATAGGTTTCTTTTGGGCTGCTTGTTTTTCATTAAGATGTGCATCAGCTTGAATTTGCCTACTGTTTAATTAAAATAATTGTCAAAGTTTGACAATCTAACAGTCTGTGGTAGGGGTGTATGTGTGTGTTTGTGAGTGTGTGTTTGCCTGTGATTTTTAATTGGCCCATGTCTTTAGAATCCAAGTGGTTAAGATGTATTTGTGATTTGAAATATAGCATGTTGATAATATTTAGCTGTTGGCCTTTAAAAATAACTTTCAAAGCTTAAAGAATTGTAGATATAAAAACCTAATTTAATTCAGGCTTAAATTCCTCTGATTAAGCATGTGAAAGTAAGTTTTAAAATCTGTCACATTGAAAAGACTACTGTTCTGTGCCCTTCTGTATTTTTGTCTCTTTAAGTTGAATGTTGTATTTATCACCGTGTAATTTAATCATTCAGTAGGCAGATTCCCCACTAGAAAACTATTAAAATGTAAGACTAAAATACAACATTGAATTTAAAATCAAAACTTTGTGTATAAAAGCTAGTATAATCCATTTTGTTATATTTGTTTTTTCCCTAACTTGGAAATATACATATTTGTATATATAGCCTTAAAACTAATGTAAAGTTAGGGGAGTAGTGGGAAAAGTAATGTGAAATGTCTCAGATTTAAGTAGTTACATACCAGCAAAATCTTTTCATTATCCCTCTTATTTGTGAGGTGATTAAATGTAACTTAATTGTATTTAATTTATATCTTAATCCAGCATGAATGAAGAAAAACTGAAGTACTATTTATATTTAGAAATTCATAACAGTTGGAATTACAGAACCAATTCCATACTTACAATAAATACTTAATGTCTAAATCTGTGGTAGAGTGCGAAGTATGATAATGTTCTAAGTTATGGCTTTGCAAGCATCTAAATGTGCATTTAATGAATACCAGTGCTTCTAGTGTAAATTGATTACCAGACATACTAGTACTGAAAGCAAAATCCCTCCTATAACAAACCAGTTCCTTAATTTTTTAAGTAGAATGAAATTTTTAGTTCCAGAAATTGCAAAACCTTGAACTGGACTGTGTAATCTTTTGAGATGCAAAATTTAAGTTACAAGTAGTGTATGTGATGGAAAGCTATATTTCAATTGCTAACAGCATATTTAGAGCCTTTTTAAATTTAAGAGTCTTTAAACAAAAAGGAAATTAAAATATTCCTCTGTTAAAATTATTACTATTGAAATTATGCTTGGAAGTGAGAAAATTGTATTTAAGTATGATCTAAGAAGACTAAATCTTTTCCACATGAGTCAGCACTGCCAAACTAGATATAATTTTTCATTACAAAAATACAGGAAGGAAGTACACATTATAACAGCAGACTGTATGTGTTCCTGATTCCTGGGGGTAATAGTGGGGAAGGAGAGCCAACTACACTTTTTAAAGGCACTTTTGCACCTCTGTTGTGCACTTCGTTTTTGTACCACTTAAATTCTTGACCCCTCACCCCCCTTTTTTGTGCAAATTAGCATCTCAGGGCAATGCCTCAAAAATGTTTGATGCGTTCTATGTTCTTTGGAGGGAAAAAGTTGTTATGTGACAGTAATATAGTATTCAAAATACACCTTCATTTAAATGTCTTATTTGCTGTGTTTAGTAGGAAATTCAGTTTTATATAGCAGGCTCTTTTTACCCTAACATTAAAAAATTTCACTGATCTATTACTGTTTTAATAAGGTATGATCTCCTAATTTCCACTTTCTTGGGGAATATTCTTTTACAAATGCAGTTCTAAGTATTAGCATTGACTTTTAAAAATCAAAGTGATACACAGCTTTATAACTATCTCAAACATTTTTAATTGTAGTGGATTAACTTCTAGAATACTGTGCAACTGCTGTGGGCCACTTAATTTTTTATACTAACTTCATAACGTTAAGAAATTTGAATTAAGGAATAAATTAATTATGTAATTCAAATAATCTGAATTACAGCAGTACTTTTAGTGATCTATTTGACCATATGTTAATCCAGCTAATAACTCAGCTTTTCCACAAAATATTTTGAGTATTATCTGCAAAACACTGTTCTAGGCTAAGCACCTGGGGACTATAAAGAGATAAATAGGTTCGTAATTTATAATCTAGTTATGTTAATATTATAACTGGATCACTAATTAAAAAAATAGTTAATTGTCCACTTATTATCTGCCAGGTACTTACCTGAACAGGCCCCCCTGCCTTGAAGAACCTATTTGTACTTTATTCACCTGTGAACTTTTCTTCTGTTTATTTTCTTCTCACCAAAGTTAATCTCATTCAGAAGAAAATTTTGCCCAGCATAAGAATAAAATAGGACTTATGAGGCTTAAGTCCATGCTTGATTGCCTATAACAATTGGCCTTTACTCTTCCTGCTGATAGCAGTAAATCAGAGAAATAGGTAATGGATTTCTTAGATTCTCCAGCCATAGAAATACAGGTGGGGTTGAGTTTATGGCATTTAAAAATATAAATAGCTAAATTTATCTTATTTAAGTAAAACTCTGTTCTTTATAACACACTGCCAGTATTATATCCAATTTTAGCCAAATGATTATTGTGCTTTAATATTTTAAAATTTCACTGCCCATCTTTATTGGACAAATTCATCTGGGAATTCAACTTATGATTTCTGAAAGAGCTGATAAAATTGGGTACTGCTTTTTCTTTTATTTTTTTATTTTAATTTTGAATTTCATGGTGTATACTTTTAGTTCATACTTTGCTAAAATATTTTGTACAGTATTGTATTAGGATTTGGTATTAGAAAAGATATGTAAATATTTCAGTATATAAATGTTTCTCATTTGAGGTTTTTCTTTGAAGGGACCTTAAGGAGTTTCATATACTTTTGCTTACAGATACTGCTAGTGAGGTGACCATTTTTTAATTGAGTATCTAATCTTCTAATTAGTTTTTCTTTTAGGCTTTATAGGAGATCTTTATATTTTAAATTTTTAGAAGCCTAATTTTACCTTATTCCTTCAATAATGTGCCATGTGTTTGGTTTGTATTTTAAATTGTATATTACTTTGGAATATGCTTGAAATATTTAAGAATACATTTTTAAAATGTATAATACTGTATCATTTTCTTGGTCAAAATTATAAGTCTCAGTTAAATGTTAGTGGTTACTGATAGAATATTCTACAGGAATGATGAGGGACATTGTTCCACTTCGTTGTTAGATGAACATTTTCCACTTTTGTTCACCTCAACATAGATTCTTTCCCTTTTAACTGTTTTTTGTAATTAAGCTAGTGGCCTCTGCTGTCGTTGTTTTCCTATTTATATTACCAGCAGGTGGGAGTGCTAATTAGAAAAACTCAGATGGTATTGAAATTGCAGTTAACAACTTATACTTTTATGAGATGGGAAAAGATTATTTAAGTTGACATAGTAACTTGTTTAAGTGACATTTTTTTTCTTACTTATCCTGCATGAAATGTTGCTCCCATTTCCTTTATTTCATTTATGGTGTCTCCTTTTTTTTTTCAAACCGAAACAGGCCAATTCCATTTTCTTGAACAAGAAAGCTGAGTGCATTACCTCATCAAGGCCAATTAACATTATTAATACTATGTTAAACTGGGCTGAAAATAAGAAAACTTGAGAGATGAAGGAATGGAGAAATGGCAGTAAGATGGGCAGGGGGGAGGATTACTCTTAATTCTTAAAAGCCATAGGAAAGTCTTCCTTGGACCTGGCTGTATGTTTGTCACATAAACCAGTAAGAATCAACCTTTGTTGCTTCAGATAATTTGGTTTTTCCAACAAGGAAGATAATGATAAAACTTACTGATTCTTCAACATAGAAACAACTGAGAAAAATAAAATGTAATGCTTCTTTAATGCAAAACTGAACCCTTCCTTTCTTTTCATTGCTCTAAAACCCAGTTTTCTACTAATGGCTTTCTCATTAAACTAAATGTTTAGAAAAATTGTTGAGAGTTTTTCTTTTCCTTTTTCATAGTCCTGATCCAGTAAAATACTACTTAGTACTGTGTGCATTTGTATGGTACTATCTAAAGTAAGGTAGATTTGTGTAAGAGATTGGGTAGCTGCAGGACAAAATTAGTTATATCCTAATTAAGTATAGTGAATGGCACAAACTCATTAATAGCAATGGTTCTTAATCCTTTGGGGTCACAGGCCCTTTGAGATTGATGAATCCTAGGGACTCCCTCACCCAGGAAAGTGCATCTAATATATATGACTCCCTAAAGTTTATGATATTGCAGTGGTTCATTGGCCCCTTGGTTAAAGTCCCATTCTAAAGTATATTAGGGCATCATCCTTTTACCTGCAAAGCCCATACATACATCTCAAGGTAATGTTAAGGAATTGTTTCACTCTTTAAAAGATAGAGGTGGATGGGGGCCTGGCTATAATCTGATATTAAAATATACTTTAAAAAAAATACTATATTTGGGGGGAAAGAATGATTAAGGGTAAACAAAACAAAACATAGTATTTGTACTAGTTTTGGAGGGTAATATCTTTCTCTAAGACTTGCCACGTTTAAAATTCTACGGAAAAGAGGTAAAACAAATTGAATGTGTTTGACTTCCAAAGTGCAGGTGGACTATTTTAACAGCACATTTAACTGTCAGAGCTTGCTCAGGTTTTAAGATTTTGAGCTTCCTGGTATTAGAGTTCATTAAATGTTCAATTCATTTCAGATTCTAAGGAATTAGGTATTTACTTGTACAGAATGTTAAAATAGAATCTAACATGGACAAACCACCAATACATGGTTTATGAGATTTGTACTAAGATATAAATACAGTGAAAGAATGTTATTAATTTGTTGTCAAAATTAGATGTTCAATTACAACTTAATTCCCATTTGTGAGAATTTTGGAGCATAGCAGCTTGTTTTACATTATTAGCCCTTGACTTAAACAGCTTATTTGCAGAAAAATATCTTGTTTGTAGTGATATGCCCCAATACTGATTGATTTCACTTTTGAAATGATTTATTTCACTTAATAGTGTAAATGTTATGAGTGCAGAGACATGTACATGTTAAAAGCATGTGGTATTATATATAGAATCATTTTTTTAAAAATCTATAAATATGAGACTAATACAATTGCAGAAATATTTTTCTTAAACACAATGTGTAACAAAATTCTCCACAGTAACTCATCCAGTTTGCAGTTTGGGTGATCCAAACTTTTAAAGAAATTCCATAAATGTGTATTTTGTATTATGTATCATTTCCTGGTCCAAAGAAAATATGTGAACTCAGTTCTGACTTTAAGAATGTACTTTTTGTTTTCAAGTCCATTGAAGAAATTGCATTCAGCCTGTGAATGGTTGCAGATTGTATTTGAGATGAAAAGTAGAAATAATTTCTAGTTTGCAAAACTGGTGCCACTAAATAAACAGGCAATTGAATAATGTGTGTGTATTTATGATTGTTTGATATTGTAAGCAGCATTTTTGTACTGCCAAGAAATTTTGAAATTAGCTGTTGGAAGACTTGAAGACAATTTTTTTTCAATTGAACTTGTTAATTTTCTTAAAGAGCTAAATCTGATAGTCACAATTTAAATTAGACTTGTCCCTTCCTAATTTTAGGAAATTTACTGAAAGCCAAAAAGCTTAAGTTGATGGTTATTATCATGAAAACATTCCAGAAATTATCAAGAGTTGTTTCTCTTTGGCAAGAACATTCCCATTTTTCTGTCTTCTAATAGATGATATTTTTCTTACTCCCTTGAAGAGTTGAGATTGGGAATTGGGAGTGTCCTGAGAAAGGACTTCTTCACCTAGGATCTGTGGTATAGTGCCTGCTTCAAAATAGCCCTTATATGTGTGTGTGTGTATGTGTGTGTAGGATACAGAAAAGGAGGTGTTTATTTCCTCTACTAATTCTGATCAGTGGTTATATTACATCTATCGTATGTTCATTAATGTCTGAAAGTGACAGGTTTGAGTAAATCTAGTCATACCTTCCATAATTAGAGGGATGTTAGAATTGAACTCGTGATAAAAGTGACATTCTATGAGCTGCAAGAGCTCATTTTGTTTATTGTAAAATGTGTAATGAAAACAGTAATGAGGCATTATAATGAAAGGTAGCAACTCTTAGAACTAAGGTTGAGGCAAATAAGGATTTATTTGATTTATGTATAAATCAAATAAATGGTACTGCTGGTACTGCTTCACTTGTCAAAGTGTATCCTGCAGTTTTGTTTTTGGGGGGAGGGGTTATTCTTTTGAGTGTTGAGGTAGGTTTTAATTGTTTATTTCAGTTATTTTTTTCCCTTAATTCTTTACTGAGAAACTAATATTGGAGTACTCTTCTCTCTTTCCTTGTCATCATATAATAGTTCAGATTAAACTTCTCATGAAGTCAAATTTTATTCTAGTTAAAAAGTACTATAATTTTTGATGAACAACCCTGGAAAACTTGATTTGTATGCCCTCCATAGAACTTTTGTTGCTTGATACAAAACCAACCACTTACCAGATATTAGCAAGATTTTGCTCTACTGGCTGTCTGTTGTCTACATTTGTTCTAATATCCTAACTTAAGTGATTCAGAGTATGGCAAAGCTTTTTGTAAAATTTTGTTCCATATTAATACTTGTACTATTACATAAATAGTGGACTAGCAAAGCATACTATATGTCTCTGCTTTTATTTAGGTACAAGCTTGGGGTCTTTCAGACCAAAACACTTCTATGACTTTCTCTATAGCTCTACAAAAGTTTTTCCAGATATTAATTTGAATCAGCAAAATTTCCAATATTTGACCATTTTTGATCTACCAAAATGGCAGTTTTATCTAGTTCAATTTCATAGTTTCTGAAGTTATTCTTGAATGATCAGATACCAAGTCGGTATTTGGTACTTCTCTCGTTATTTATGTTTTAAGTGGGTTTCCTTAGAACCAGATGACAGGTTTAAAGAAAAGCTATATATATTTGAATAAATTTGCAAATGTGAGGTTTGATAACATACAAATCAAATTTATAAGATGCTCTAGTATCATATCAACATGCTGCTTAGACATTGTTAAGAGAACTGTTATTCCAGTAGTGACTGGGAATGATAATGAATTTAAATGTTCAAGGCAGGATTATAATAAAGACTAAAGATAAGATGGGAAAATAATTTTAAGGATTTATTTTGAATTATTAATACATGAGCTAGGCGAGTAGAGAGTTCTTTTCACCTCGGTCTATGACTGTGAGACCTCATTGAGGAATTCTCTGAAAATAATTATTGTTCTGAAGTACAGTCTTTGTTAAAGGTGATGGAGCATTCTAACATTCTAGGTGTCATTCAGACTCGGTTAGGCTGTGGCTGTGCTGCGCCTTTTTTGAAGATCTTTTTTGTATTTTGCTCTTTGTGTTTATTTTGGTAACGATCGACTAAAATTGTCCAGTATTAGTATTTAAAAATCGAAGGGTTGACTAGAAGAGTTTGTTACTGTTCAGGGTCAGAGGGGTTATATGTGTACCTTCTGTTAGCACACTGAAACCAGGAACTGTTTTTCTAATTCTCAGTATATTAATCTTGAATGTATATATTTGATTCTACTTAATGAAGAAAATATTTCTGCAAAGATTCATTGTATGTCATAAGAGCAGAGTTATTCTCTATTATTTTAGCCATTGAACTTTTAACTGCTTACTAACAACCTGAAAAGATCTTTTAACTAAAAGTTTCCAGAACATTCTTAACAAACTAAAATTTTCTAGTGATTAGAAATAGTAGAGGTACCTTAGCTAGTGACTTTTTAGTCATAGTTTAAAAGGCATAGCAAATATGTCTTCATGTAATTGATATAAATTTGACTTTTATAACTGTCCACCTTTCTTGATGTGTTTCAGTAGACACCCTGCAACAATGATCCTTAATAAAAGAAGTCTTAGCATTTAATAATAGCAATGAAACTGCTTCTATGCCTGGATCACAGAAAGGAAGCTTGCTGGGTGTCTTTCTTCCATATTATTTTATGGTTGAAATCAGAGTGTTTGCTTCGTTTCTTTTCTTTAGTTTTGTTTTAAATAATGGGTCCCACACTACTTTCTGCTCTAGGGCTTCTGTAAATACTCTTAGAAAAGTCTGAAGTCATTGACTTCTGCATCCCTGCATTTCATAAGCATTTGTTTGCCATGTGCTCTGTCCTGACTCTTGCAACATATCAAATAGGCTGGACTATTGAATGACAACATGATTTTAAATGTATTACATGTGCATGTATAAATATCCTTGTTCAAGGTTAACGCTACGGTGACTGTCAGTGTTATTGGTTCAACTTGACATTCAGAGAGGTTTGCCTGCTCCACGACCAGATGGATTTGGCACCTGACAGGACCCACAGTGTCAGTAAAAGCTTCATCTCAAGAAGAGCAGGGTTCCAAGAAGGAAACTTCCTGGAGGGCAAGTGTCCATAATTTGAGATGAGGATGAATGCAGTAGCAATTGTTGAAGATCACATGGTTGGTTCGTCTCTTGGAACTATCTTGATATTTTAGTTTCTTGGACCGAATGTCAAACACTTCTGTTCAAAAAGTCATTTGTTCAGGTATAAAAATTTGAATACTTTATGTGAAAATGAGTATACTTTTTAATCTTAGAATCTGTGGTTTTCTTGAGACTTTAACATGGAGTCATTTAATGAAATTGGCATTTTTCTATTTGGCAAGGGAGGAAGAAGAAAAGGAAATGTGGAGGGAAAGAAAAGGAGATAATACTGAAGGCAAGAAGAGAAGGTTGTTTTAAAGTGAAAAACAAGGTGTTGTGTTTTTTAAAAGTTAAGAAAATTCTATTTTTCTGAAATTCAAAATGAAATTAATTTAAGCACCATAAATCATCCTTATGTTATAGTAGTCACTAATGTGTCACTGGTTGGTAGATTAGTCATAACTTTTTTTTTTACTCCATTATGTTTTTACTATTCCCTCCAAAGGGGCAGAGTTAGGGGAAGGAAGGGATGACACAACTTTGATTGTTGACTGTCATTTGTAGGTTTGATCAGGAAAGCAATTAAAATGAGGTTTAAAATAAAATATTGTAGATTTCCCTTCTGTTTATTGGTTCCCTGGCTTCTCTGAAGTAGTGGTTCTCAACCTGCCAGCAAAGCAGAATGACCTGGGAAGCTTTAAAAGCCCTTCAGCAGTGAAGGTTAAGTTGGAAGCTTCACACTGAAAGTTACCCATCCTCATCCCCAGTGAATCCTTGCATCCTCCCCTGTCCCTGCTCAGATCATGTCACTCCTGTGTTCAAATTCCTACTGTGGTTCGCATTTCACTCAGTCTTTCCAGTGGCCTACCGAGCCCCTATATGATCTGGTCCCAGTGACTTCTTGGGCTCACCTCCCTCACACGCATCTCCCTCATTTTGATTTAGTCACATTGGTCTCCCATCTATCCCCAGAGCATGCCTGTCTCACTCAAACCCTAGATCTTAAAGGCACTTGTTCTAGCTGTTCCCCCTGCCGGAATTGTTTCACTGGACAAAGCAAGCCACATGCAAGTTCAAGGGAATCTGAAAGAACAAACCAGAATGTTTGGCAACAACCCTAATCACTACCGTGGTCCCCCATATGTATTTGACGACCTAAGACTGCGTGTGTGCGTCCGCAGAAAATGAGACTGCGTTATGTGTTTGCAAGCTGAGAGGCTGAGACCACATGAATGGTCTCATTTTAAGTGTTCATAATTATTAAGAAGAGGTTAGTGTTCCTGCATCTGTGAGGAAGAAGTAGCACCACTGGGCTTTGAAGGTGTGGCTGGATTCACGTAGGCAAGGCTAAGTAGGAAGAGTTTTCCACGCAGAGGAAACAAGTGAGCAAACGAAACATCAGGTAGAGAAGGCAGCAGAGGCCAGTGATGATGCTGGTCTCAGCCCTAAGGGGGCTGAGGGAGGATTACATAAAAGGTACATCCTGAAGAAAAAGCCTGCTTTTTGTGTCCTTTTCTTAAAAAGAGCTTTCATTTAGTTTCCAGGCACTTTGAATAGACGTTGCCTATCTGAAGTCAACTTTATTCTCAAATCCAGTGGCATTTTAACACTTGAAGAGTTGTCCTTCCCCGTATGCCACCCAATGCAGTGCTGCCCCATCCCTAGCAGTCTTTAAATACTTTTTGTTTGACTGCCCAGTCAGGGAAATTCACCTGTTCAGGTCCTCCACCCGAGTGGAGTGTTCTGGAAGAGGTGTGGACTGGAGAGAGACTTGGCAGTGGTTCTGGCAGAGTTGTGAATCCACCGTAGAAAATGTTCATGACCATAGCCATGCACCACTTAGCTGGCCTGGCTAGCATCTGGCCAGCACGTGCCAGGAGTCGTGGTCGGATTTGCACTGTGCACTTTGAGGCGAGGACGAGGGAGCAGAGGCCGAGACCACGTGAGATGCTGTTTGAGGGGTCGAGGGTTCC